AAGCTACAAACTTTCTGCGCATGCGTCGCGTTCACGCATGCGCACAGGCGTTTACGAGAGCGCGTAAGACCCTTACGGCTGCGAATATGTTTGTGCGCATGCGCGTTTAATGTGTAACGGAGTTATACGCTAAGCTAAAGTTATCTAATTCAGTTAATGTTGCTGATTGCGTTGTTCCTTAACATTCGAATTGGATCCGGCTTATTATTTTTTGCAGACTGTTAGAGCAATTTTATAAAAGTAAGCTTGAACTTTCGATTATGTCAAATAGAATTTCCGATATATATTTACTACAAAGCGAAAGTATGTTTTGAAATCCGAAATCTGTTTATCAATTTCACGCTGCTCTGCGGCAGAGGGGGGGGGCAGAAACATCATTATTAGATTATGATAGATTAGAAAGATTATATCAAATAGAATTTCCGATATATATTTACTAATATGTAATTTGTATCTACAAAGCGAAAGTATGTTTTGAAATCCGAAATCTGTTTATCAATTTCACGCCGCGGATTGGAAGTTGATCCAGCACTATCCTTGTCTTCAGGGCAGATGTTTTTATTTTATTTGGTTTATAATTCCGTACTAAGTGTAGTATTTCATCTCGATATACTCCGTCTTTGATATGATTTAAATCAAGTTCCTCGTCATTATAATTCGCTTCCGATAGTGAAGAAAGTGACCCAGAGGTTATTGAAAACGAAAACATTTCGATTGAAATTAGTCGGTATTCTCAACACAGCAATTATAGGACTTGAACAGCGGAACTTTGTAACTAAACAAGAAATTATGTCTGTTTAATAGAATTAAAGAGAAAGTATCATCACATGAAACGAAGCAACTTACATTGAAGGAAATGTTTAATAAAGTAAACAAATAAATATTAAGCTTTTTCTTTTTGTAAATTTTGATACCCTTTAGATCATAATTTTTCTTTATTTCATAAATTACGGTTTCATATTTTTAATTTTAGAATTTCTGCATGCCATCTTACGAGATTTAAACTGATGATCTATAATCCGGAAAAATCGATAATCCGGAATCGCCGAAGTCCCGACGAGTCCGGATTAACGACTTTTGACTATTTTTTTTTTCCCACCGCCATTTTGTCTTCACGAAGTAAAGACATGTTTCTTTTCTTTTTATCTACTGAACACTTCTTCCAACAATCTACTAGCCGAATTACACTTATGCTAGAAATTTTATCTAACAAAACTGCTTAATCATGACAAATATTCACTGCAAAATTGGGAAAAAGTGCACAATACCATACTCCTTACGCGTTTTTTCAAAATAACACATACACATAAACCATGTACACACCAACTTATTTTACTTAAAAAACATCCCAGAATTGCACAAAAATGGCATTGCGCACACTCTTCGCTATATCCATGTACACTGCTTTTTTCTCATAAATTAGAAAAATTTCACGAAAATACATGACAATTTTCTCAATCTTTTAAACCCGGTAAAAAAGAACATATATGAAATTGCCTGATCGCGAAAAAGTATTTACCCTTTCCAAATATGAACATTTCCACATATAAAATAAATAAAATATCCAAAAACGTTTACCTCTAAATCATCTATTACATTATACACGTCACCAACGAATTCATACCGCAAGCATTACAAATACTTAGTATCAAATATTTATATATTTCCATGCACGTTTACTTCAACTTAAACGTGTACCAAATTCCTACAAACATAAAATTCACAAAATAACTATCATTTAATTAAAATATCACTAAACCATGTACACACCGACTTATTTTTACTGAAAAAAACATCCCAGAATTGCACAAAAATGGCATTGCGCACACTCTTCACTATATCCATGTACACTGCTTTTTTCTCATAAATTAGAAAAATTTCACGAAAATACATGACAATTTTCTCAATCTTTAAACCCGGTAAAAAGAACATATATGAAATTACCTGATCGTGAAAAAGTAATGAACATTTCCACATATAAAATAAATAAAATATCCAAAAACTTTTACCTCTAAATCATCTATTACATTATACATGTCACCAACGAATTCATACCGCAACCATTACAAATACTTAGTGTCAGATATTTAAATTATTTCCATGCACGTTTCCTTCAACTAAAACGTATACCAAATTCCTACAAACATAAAATTCACAAAATAACTATCATTTAATTAAAATATAATTAAAAATTCAAAAACACTACTTAAAATATAAATGAGCACATACATTAAATTAATACATACATAAATACCGATTTCGAATTCACTTTAGTTATGGCCATGGGATCTAAAAATTCACGAACACTGTTTCACACAACACAGAATAAAGCCAAATACAAAATTTCCAGATTTCCCGATTTCCCCCCTTTTCCGATTAAAGAACCGTAATTCGCCCATTAATATCACACGACATATCCCATGATCTTTCATTTCCCTCACACAAAAATAATGCGTAATCGGAACTCAGTATTGCTCACATTATTACCAAAGTCCCAGGTAATAACCTTTATCGCCTCCAAAATGTCGCCAAACTACCAGTTACCATACTGTAAAGATCAACCAATTTTTTATATGATTTTAATTGCATAAAATTAAATGATATATGATTAAAATATATTGATTTAAATGAATTATTAAAATATATTGATCTAAACATTCCCTAAAAAAAATAAAAGTATGCATTTTTACGAGTTTCTTTAAAGCGCTCTGCGAGACCGCTTACAGTAATTATGCCGAACAAATCGTCACAGCTGTTAAAGGTTAAAGCAATTTATTGATGCTTCTCCTATCAGTCTTTTGTTTCTCAAGGGAGTGCACAGTGCCAAGTTTATGCAATTCTCCAATTTTTTTTAGGTGACGATTTTTCGCTTAAAAATCGCCGCTACACAAAGCCAAAATAACAAGTCAAGGCATTGCACAAACTCGGTATCCATGTACTGCCAAAAATCACCAATTTTCGCCAAGGAGCACCTGTAAATATATTTTTACCATTTTCAAGTTTTGAGTGACGAAAAAATTATTTGCGATGTAGATCTGGAGAAGAAAAAAAAGTTGAAGATTGTAGTGATATTGAAATGGCAGTGAAATGCAAACTGTTAAAAACTAGCACTGCTGAAAGACTTATTTTGGGTTTATTCTGATTAAGGCTGAACACTAAGGACTAAAACTTCAATGCAGCCAGCCCATTTGGTGGGATTTGAATCTGGAACCAGCATTCAGAGTTTTTACTTTACCTGAAGCATAGCTCTTTAAAGCAATTCATTGATGCTTCTCCTGTTGATCTTTTGTTTGTCAAAACCCATCATGATTACATGGTAACTGATACAGTTATCGAATTATCATAAAAAAATTTTTTTTTAAATTACTGTCTAATAAAAACAAATGTAAGAAATCTGATAAAACTGCAGAGTTTGCATAAATTTTTAGTTTGTTTATTCATTGTTTAATGACTTTTTCACCACAGAATAAAACCTTGCACAGATTGTTTACTAATTGAAGGAAATAAATTTTATCTAGTAATAAAAGATTTGGTAAAATATTAATAGTTGTGCTTCTGCACTTATATTTACAGTTTAAAAGAAATAATTTCAGAGAATCTTGTTAAACAAAAAATTGGCATGATCTAAAATTTAGAAACTGACATGAATTTTCAAATATTCACTGTGACTGCAACCCCAGTTACCCTGAATAATTGAAGTTCTACTATATGAAGAAGTTTACTACATTTTTATCAAGAAGAACTATTACTATAATTTTGTGCTTCTGAAAAGGATATTTTTCTAAGACTTCTAAATATGCACTCAGCTGTTCTATACATAATATGTGCATTTAATACTGCTCCTGTAAACATTTTTGGGTAAAGTGCAGAATTGCCCACTTATTTGTTTGGCACTTTTTACAAGAGTAAGAATTGAATTTTTGTCAATTTTCTTTGATTTTTTAAGTGAAAATAGGTCGATGTGTACATGGCTAAAGGGAGTGCACAATGTTATTTTTGTGTAATTCTGGGATTTTTTTAAAGTGAAAATAGGTCGATGTGTACATGGATACCAAGTTAGTGCAATTCTTAAAAACATGCCAAGCAATGGGTGATTCTGCACTTTCCCCACATTTTCATTATTATCACAGAAAGAGACAAAAGCTTTTATGAAAAATTATGACAAATATATATGTACCTAATTTTTTACTTTCTTAAAAACAGTAGTAGTAGGTACAGTAAAATTGTACCTTTACAAGAAATAACATATTTCTGAAAAATTAGCTTAACCAAAACTAAATACTTCAAAAATTTTTTATCAACTTCTGAACTTTTAAAACACAAGCAAAACACTTTAGAGTTCTGATTCCAGTAAATAAATTACTTCATAGTGATCTCATGTTCTTTCAATACAGAAAACTACAGAAATTATGAAACGCTTATATAAATCAAAGAATTTTAACCACAATCAAACACTAACAGATATAGTGCTACAAAGTACAGTATCTGTTAATCACTCTAGTATTATACCATTTTCCAGAATTTTTGCTGTTTTCGGTGTCCTTACGTGTGAAATTATGCTGTTTTCATAGATTTACAAAATGTTACGAAAGCTTAATTTAGAAAGCAAAGAAAAAAGGAACATGTTGATTAGTTTAAAAACAATACGAGATTAATTAAATATATCATGTTCAGGAAATTTGCGACACGCAATATTTGAGAAATATTAATTAAAAATATATTCACTACTTGCTTTGAAAAACAAAACCAAGATAAATTTAAAAAAAAAAAAAAAAAAAAATTCAATCACTTTGGATCAAGTTACACATTACTGATAGAAAACAAGCAATTTTCACGAAAACCTATGTTTTTGCCCCTCCAAAATATCAACTTCCGTAATACTAGCTTTTAACTCAGTCACATATGTCCACACATTAGAGAAAGCAGTGAATGCATTTAAAATATTTCTTTCAAATTTCCAGACTAATTCACTGTTTCGATCATCTGTGTCATACACAAACCTGCTGAGATTTCCCACTGTTTGCTTCATACAAAATATAGGTATTTTCGGAAGCCGCCATATCACTGGAATGTTCCCTGCAAATAACTTCAAAATTATTAGCACAGTTATTCTCAAGTGATAAGCTTCCTTTCCCTATTCCAAAACACGGGAAAGCTGTTATCAACAACCTGTAAATGACATATATAAATGGCTTACATATGGAGATAAAATACAAGACGGCTTCGTTCATCCCAAGGAGGTTAGAATTGACGCAGTAGGACACGCCCACCTTAATTCTCAAACTACTCATTTTTGCTGAAGGATGTGGTTACGTCATAAAAATAAGTAAAAAATGTATCTGAGCATTAACCATACTACCTTCTTTTTACGGCACATATCCAGGGCTTAATTTCTAAAACTATGTGCAGCAGCTATCTCAGACCATCAGATGCCCTTGACATAAAGAAATCCGGACGTAGAGAAAATCTCAGATGAGAAAAGGGGAAGAAGAGAAGTACCAAAAGGAGCAAGACAATCCAATCCAAGGAGGTTATCCAATCAGACAAGTTTCCAAAACGTGACGAGCGATCACAGCTTTCAAGAAGAACCCAAGCCAATGCAAATCAATGACAATAATAGGAGAAAGATACTACAGCAATCGTTCCAATAAAATCAAAAGAATTTTCTGATGAAATTCTGGTTCAGTTACATAAGCGAAAAAGTTCTTATTTATAACTCTGGTGAGCTCCAGCCAGTATTACGATTTATTTCAAAAATTAAGAATTTTGGAACCAATCTCTAGGATTCTGTACTTGTCGTTTCAAGTGAAATAAAACTTTGGATATGTTCTGAATAGTTTAAGTTTGAGTAAGAAGTATTCATAAGTTTTCATTAATTATATTAAAATATTTTTTAATGTATACTAATTCTATTTAGCTAACAATAAGAAAGGCAAAATCATATTATTAATAATGTTTAAATCACATATTATCTTTCTTTTCCTTCACAGAAATACGTTTAGAACTATTTTCTAAAATCTCAAAAGTACTCATCTTTTAAATCAAAACTGATATTTTCAATGTAATTAATGCTTTGATTAGTTTATCTGTCTTTTCTTTGGTACTTCGCTTTCCATGTTGCGGTTTCATCAAACTATAAACTGAATAGACTAGAAGAGAAACATGTTAATGTGACAATGAAAATCGTAAAAACAACCTAACTTACGCTAAATACAAGGTTGTTTTTACGATTTTGATTATAAACTGAATGTTTACATTTTGAGTGGTTGCACCAAGGAGGTTAAAACACACAAATCGTACACACAGATCGTATTTTATTCTCGAGTGTCAAGATGTAGAAACATCTTTTTACTCAACTTCTGATAAAGATCGGGTGGGAGGAAAAAGAGAAGGGTGAAAGGAGTGTGGGAGGCGGATGAAAGAGAGTGAGGTCCGCACTAGCGGCGGCGAAAAAAAGGGGGGTGTCACGTTCAGTGTCGTTATAAGAAGTAGCCGCGGGTGGTAAAACCGCAGAGTCAGTTTGGCGTGAATGAGTCAATTAAGGTTGTAATTCTTATGTGGGAAGGACGTCACAAGGGTAACGATGTTTTTCTCTGAGAGTGCTAATAAGGCTATTACTGTGGGTTTGTACTGAATAAAGAAGTTGACCGCTAATCGTTTAATATACTCTTGAATAAGTTCGATTCGAAGGTCTCTGTGAATATAGATGTTGGGAATATACAAAGGAGCATTGATAATTTCTCGTAGAATTTTATTTTTTGGAATTTGTAATTGTTTAATATTGGTTTTAGCTGCATGTTCCCAGATCGGTGCTGCATAAAGAAGAGCTGGGCGCAGTATGGAGCGATATAGAATTAATTTGTTTGTAGTAGATAAGTTGCTTTTCTACCAAGAAGAGGTCGCATAGTAGCTGTGGTGATTTTAAATTTTTGTACTACGGATCGGAAATGGGTTCTGAAGGTAAGTTTTTGGTCAAGGGTGACTCCAAGGTATTTGGTTCATTAATCCAGTCTATTTCTTCATCAAATATTTCAGGGGGTGGAGGATAGTATTTCATGTTTCCTTTACGGAAAATTATTGCCTTAGTTTTATCAGTGTTAATTTTAATCCTCCAAAGGGTAAGCCATTTTTCCAGTTTTATGAGATAGCTTTGGAGTTGGTTTCTTACGGCGATAACTGTGCAAGCTTTAGTAAGTATGGCGGTGTCATCGGCAAAGAGTGCAAGATGAACAGAAGGGTCTTTAGGGATGTCTTGTGTATAAATATTAAAAAGGTACGGCGAAAGTGCCGACCCCTGTGGGACACCAGCATTTATTACTCTGGTGGTAGAGTAAGCAGTACCGATTTTGATTCTGAATGTTCTGTTGCTGAGAAAAGAGAGGCTATTAAGCGAATAAAATGATCTGGAAAATTAAGAGTGATTAGTTTGTAAAAAAAGCCTAGATGCCATACCCTGTCAAAAGCTTTCGCGATATCGAGAAATATAGCACCGGTCGGAAGCTTGCAGTTGTAGCCTTCAGTGATAATGTTGATAACTCTGAGAAGTTGGTGGCAAGTGCTATGATGATTACGAAAACTGAATTGTTCTTCTGGGAGAAAATTCATGGAAGGGTGAATTTTTTGGATATGGAAAAGTAGGATTTTCTCAGTAACTTTAGACAGGTGGCTAAGTAAACTGATAGGGCGATAGTTCTGTCGGTTTAGCAAAAACAATTATTATAGCTTGCTTCCATGAGTTAGGAAAATGAGCGAATTTGATAATGTTGTTGATTATCTTAGTTAGGCAGGTAAGAGCGTTGATCGGAAGATGCTTCAGTGCTTTGGTCGAGATGCCATCATGCCCTGTGGCTTTCTTCGTTTGTAAGGCACATATGGTGTTGGCAACGATTGTTGGGGTAGTCAGGAAAGTGAAGTTGTACAGGGCAGGGGTATTAAGGAAGTTATTGACCACATGGTTGACCCGTTGAATATGGTTATTGTCGTACGGAGTGGGATTAAGAGTGAATGTATCTTCCATATAGTCCGCAAAAGATTTAGCTTTATCTTCTTCTGTATATGAAGTTCCACTAGGTCCATGGATAGGTGGAATAGGTTTATAAGGTTTCTTGAATTTGCGGGAAATGTCAAATAGGGAATTGTCCTCTATAGCTAGGTTATTTAGGAAATTGGTCCATTTTTGGTTTTTGAAGTTCTTGATTCTTCTGTTGATTTCTTTTTGCATAGAGTTTAGTTCGTGTTTGAGTTGTGGATCCCTGATGGTTTGCCATCTTTTACGGATCCGGTTTTTCTCTTTAATCATATTTCTTATATCGGCAGGCAGGGAAGGAAAGGCTTGTTCACATAAAAAGTATTGGTGGCTTCCTTTAAAGCAGAATTGATGCTGTTGGTAAATTTTGAGACTTCATGCTCTAAATCTTCTTTATTGTTAATGCATGGGTTACCTTGTATGGAGTTATTCAGAATTTCAGAGTATTTGATCCAATTTGTAACTCCTATACTTCTGTCAAGTGAGGGGAGGTATTTATTAATGGGGATTTCAAATACAATGGGGTTGTGGTTGGAAGACAGGGCTGAAATTACAGAGGTATTGCATCTGTTAGTAATGTTATTTGAGATGAAGAAGTCAATTGAGGTGGCGCTATTGTACCCGTAATGGGTGGGCTCGTCTGGAGCATGAATGTTATAATTATTTGATTCAATGAGTTTAAATATGTCATTTCCTTTTTTGTTAGCAGGGCCTCGGTTCCAGCAGGGGTGTTTGGCGTTGAGGTCCCCTCCGACAATGGTAGAAGTATTAGAATTAAGGAGGTGAATCGAATAAGGCTCGGAGAACAGCCTTAACGCCGAAACGGGGAGAAGCAGCTTATTATGGTAGACCTCGTTATGGTTGTCATCCGATGACGTACTTCTTCTAGGAGGACAGCGTGATACTTTTTCCCTGCTAAGGGATTATCCGTAGCAGCAGATCGGGATACGTGTTCGGAAAATATTATTATATTTGCTGTTTGCTTATCAAGCAAAGAGTATTAAGTTAGAAATAGCACATAAGTGAATAAAATATTGATAATATATGTAAAAATAAGTGTCTTGCAACTGTAAATATTTATTTAATGCTTTATTTTCTGTTTTCATTTGCTTTGTTATGCTTCCCTGTACTCATCCATGTTCAAACATGGTTTATTCTATAGCTTTTTAGTATTTATTTTATGTGCATTGATTGCAAGTAATCTATAAACATTTTCTTGTACTTTCTTTCTTGCAATGTGTGCTTTCATATAGTAGTGCAATAAAATAACTCAATAATTATAACTAATTCATATCATATTCATAGTTATGTACAGTAATCTGAATTCAGAGGAACTTTAAATTTGCCTATAGAGTGGCAGTTTTACTTCACAGTTGCTAGAAATATCTGGCTTAAACAGACCTAAGTTCTCTGACTAAACATATTTGCAGTATATTTGTTCTGGGACATTTGTAGCCTCAGTCTGATATTTAGTTTATAGCACATTTAATATTTTTAGTTTTCAATGTACGAATTAGAAATAATAATAACTTTTTAGAAATATTCAAATCTTAATTGTTCAAAATTCAACAAAATGTAATGATATTGTATTTCATTTTTTAACTGCAGTATAAATATAAAAATTTCATTAAACCTGCTAGAAGATACATATTTTATAGTATTTAAACACATATTTAGTTACATGCATTATGTAATGGAAAGAGTAATTTGCATTAAACATTTCCTCATCTTTATAGTAATTTATATATATATATAATGCATTATGAACTGAGAAGTGTCAATAAATTTTAATAAATTAATATTTCCTGATATCATAAAATAATGCTCTATGCAGTTAATAAAAGTGGATTTAAATGCTACAAGAATAAACTAAAAATAGTTTGTTTCATTTTGATTTTAATTGTCATAGATATAAATGATCTCCAACTTACAGAATGTGATAGTGAAAATTTTGCAGTAACGATTTCCGGTTGATCTTTACATTATGGTAACTTGGCGTTTTTGGCGACCAACTCTCCTACAACAACCCTCTATTTTTTTTTCCCGCCGCCATTTTGTCTTCACGAAGTAAAGACATGTTTCTTTTCTTTTTATCTACTGAACACTTCTTCCAACAATCTACTAGCCGAATTACACTTATGCTAGAAATTTTATCTAACA